CAAATTTTGTATATTTCTGATAATTTTAATAATCGTATTCAAAAACGTTATCCAAATGGTGAAATTAAAACAGCCGCTGGACAAGCCGATGGTAGAGGTGGAACAACACCAAATACGTTATCGAATCCAGTAGACGCTTTCGCAGATGAAAATGAAAATGTCTTCGTTGCTGATTGGAATAACCAAAGAATCCAATTTTGGAAGAAAGACGCAAAGACTGGGAAAACAATGGCGGGAAATAGTAGTAGAGGAGAAGCATTAAATGAATTTAGTTACCCAAGTGCAGTTTTACTCGATTCAAAGAAAAATATCATTGTTGCGGATACACAAAATCAACGTGTAACACGATGGCCCTCCACATATGATCCAAAAACATCTGCTGGTACAATCATAGCAGTAAGTTGTTGATTCTATTTCTATGGTGTGATATACTACAAATCTCAGTATTCATTTGTGGAAAAATGTAAAACGAAATTATGAATAGAGAAATAAGTTCAAGGTTAAAGTGATTTGCTACTCAATCATGCTAAGCTTTTCTTTATTTACTGGTACTAGTACAGAAATTATTTAAGTATACTTGATTTTAATACAGGGTGTTCCAAAATTGCCCAAGAAAAGTTTTTTCGTTTCATTTTACTGTTGACTGGACTTCATTGAGAAGTTTCTTTTGAATAATAGATAAATACACAAAGTTTGTATTTCTAAAGACAAATTTTAAAAACGTTGTAGAAAGTTGAGATCTTTAGCCGAAATACAAAACGTTAGCCTGTTTTCTTTTCTTGGAAAGCATTACGTAATATTTCTCTTTTAACTACTTCGAGTTGTTGAGTGATTCGAATTTTTAAATTGTCTAATACTTAAAAGATCTTTTCACAAAAATCTATGTGGTATATCTTTACAAGAACAAAATGAATAGTACTAAACCAAAATTCAAGCAATAAAAAAACATATTATCCAAGAGTATTTTTAGACAGAGAAAATAGGCTAATATTTTTATTTTTATTTTGGTTAAAGATCTTAGCTTTCAACAGCGCTTTAGAAATTTGTCTTTAGAAATAAAAACTTGTTGTATTTATCTATTATTCAAAAAAAACAAATACTCGATGAAATCCAGTCGATAGTGAAACGGAATGAAAACACTTTTTTGAGAGACTTTTGAACATCCTGTATTTTCTCTAGGGAGGTAATGGTGGTGGTCTTAATCCATATCAATTAAATAATCCATTCAGTTTATACTACGATGAACCGAATCAAATTTTTTATATATCAAACCATGACTCACATTCAATCACACAATGGTTTATCGGTGATTATGAACCTCGCTATATTTATGCTGGTATACCGGGAAGATATGGAAATAGTTCAGCCCAATTATTTTATCCCGAAGGTGTAACTCTTGATAAATATGGCAATTTATATGTTGCTGATTGCCAGAATAATCGAATACAAATGTTTTGTCCAAATTCTGTATTTGGTATTACAATTGCAGGAACAGGACAATCAGGAAATGGAACTAACGAATTATCTTATCCATCTGATGTTGCATTTGATTCAGAACTTAATTTATATGTCTCAGATACATTTAATAATCGTATACAAAAGTTTCAACGTGTGCAATAAAAAAAAAACATTATCAATCAATATATTTTAACATTCATTTTTGTCATTTCTTGTGTCATATAATAATTTTAAAAATATAAATTACATCAAAATCACACATGAATTGCTTTTTTTTAATAACTATTGGGTGTGGGTCGGTGGGGTGTAGGTAGTGCGGGCGTGCGTGTATGAAACGAGATCGCACCCACACCCCGGTCAATGTTTCTGGCGCTCTTATAAACCAATTGATATTGAAGAATTTGTTGTACGAATAAATATTACAATGTCTGTTTATATCTATAATGTATATAATAAATCTAGTTTCGATAAAGTTCTAATATTCTTTCAGATACAATATCATTGTAAAAAATAATGAAAGATGGAAAATTGATAATGAATTCAGTCGATGCTGTATAAAAATTAGTATAATTTTGGACATAAATGCAAAGATCATTGACGGACCTACAACAGCAATAGGATCTAACACTATCGTATCGAACAGCTAAGATGGATGAAGCGTTTTTGTAAAAAAACAAAAGATATAAATGATTGATGTCAATTTAGTAATTGGATTCCTGAGTCTTCGAATGTAATCATTGGGTGAATGTGGCATGTTGTTTACGATGATTCAACCTGAACTTATGGTGACATATATACTTATCTAGACTTCTCTCGATTGTACTATAGTAAAGGAAATATTTCATGACTACCTAAATACGAAAAAAGTAACACGAGACTGATTCTATTATGAATTTGAAAAATTAAACGAAAACAAGGAGGAGTCGTTTGGCAAAACAGTTATATCGTGTACAGAACTGATTTTCTCTATGGCAGGCAGATTTTTCTTTGACTATGCATCCATTTTTCAGAATAGATTAACCATTCACTTGGTTATATTTAACACTTGTTCAAGAAAAAAAAAGCATTGATAGATGAAATCATTAGAGATAAATTTCTAATGATTGTTCCTGGAGTATGACAACGACACGATCTTCATTGAAGTTGTCGAATGGAAGCGCTTGATGACGCTTTTCAATAACATAATCACGTAGATTTGGGTTGTCAAATGGTCTGCCTTCGACAAAATCTATTTTAAGATGAAGCAAATTGATCAATCCGTCAAGAAGAATATCAGCAAGACGTACACATGCATCAAATGAATATACCTGAAGTTCAATATTGGTTAGTGACGGAAAATGTTGAGTTAATTTTGATGCATATTTTAAAGAAAAATAGATATTATCTCTTATTAATTCTAGTCTTTGTAACTGATTGAAAACGGAAATAAGTGATGGATTATCAAATAAAGCGAAAGACAGAAACAGTTGAGCGCCAATCCTAAGTTCAGTGAGATTTGAACATAGCCTATAAAAAAGACACATTTAAATATTAAATAATGAGTATTATTATTGATTTTCGTCCGAAAAAAACGAGATTCAAGAGTTTTCTCTAGAAATATCTAAAGAGAGGCATCCAAATCAAAATAAACACTTCCTATCCTTATTAATAAAACTTTATTGAGATGTACCTGTTTCAAAACATACTACGTTGTATTAAACTCTAAGAACATTGAATCAGCAAAATACATACACTCGAAACTTGGGTCATTCTCAGATGAAAGTTTACAAGTTTTTTTTTACCTATCATTTTTCAGCAAAAAACTTTAGATATCTATGAATTTACTAAAGTTGGATTTGAATCTGCAGTCCAAAAAAAGCCTGACAATCATCCATGTAGACTAGCATACATAGAATCGACTTGAATTAGTGATTTGACAAAAAAATAAATTTTAACTTACAATAAGATCTGTTCAATACAATAAAGTTGAGATATATCATTCTTTGGTTCAACATCTATTTTGTTTATTGTAGATAAATCTACATAACTCTTAAGTACATTCACACATCGTTTAGTGCTAATTTTATCATTTTCCTCATGATACATGGAAACCAAATAAATAAGATGATTCAATTGCCATCTCAAATAGTTAATGAAAGAAACAATTTTCTTCTTACTGAGTCTCAATAAATTTAGCCTTAATGTGGATGTTGACTGTTGAAATACGATTACAAGATGTTGAACATTTTGAAATGGTGCAAAAGATGGTAGATTATCAGTTATGGCCATATTTCTAAGTACGACAACTTCTAATTTTGTGTTATGCTGATGAAAATTGTGATATTGATCATCTGTTATTAATGTCGATTGTACCTGCAATGTTACAAGTACGATACCTAATTCTAAAGAATTGTATTCTCGCCTATTAGTTGAATATGTTACAGTTCACAAACTGATATATTCTTTTAAAAAAAATACTCATATAAATCAATAATTGATTTTACTCAAGAATATCTCTTTTTGTTGTTTTACCTGGTTCTTCAAGTTAAATATATATCACTTTTTAGATGAATGAATATCTGATCTCTTTATTGAAGAAAACAGCAAGTATATATATATATAGGAGAGAGACAATAAACGGACTAGAGAAGACGTCGAGAAGCTTCATCCGTCTGTTTAGCAAATAAACAATAGAAAGAATAAAGACAATGGTTCTTATTACTTAACAAAGACGTCAGTTAGAAAAGTAGGTAAGACGAAAAAGGTCATACGTGAACAGCTGAACAGAAAAAGAAAAGAAGAGAAGTGAAGCACTATGTAACATCTCCCCCTTTTGTTCAAGAGATCCTCTCGATCTCGAAGAAAGAGAAAAATATTAACACTATGACAATTTTAACAAAAATCTAAGTTAGAAAGAAAAAGAAACAAAGTAATATCTTCTTTTGCATTTTTTTTGACATCACGTTCCTTCGTATTCATTGATACATAAAAATAATAACTTGAGTTACTACGACGAGTATAAGCCATATGAAAGCCATGTCAACGGAAAAAACAATAATTTGAGTTGAAATTCTCTTATTACTCAGTCTTCACGAATAAATACAGGTTCCATGTCAGATGTTGTCACCTGTTTTGTATAATTTGGATTATGATCATTATCTGGATCTTCGATTTTTACGATAAACGTTGAGGACCCTTTTGATCAATGATTCGATAAGGACCTTCGTATTTTTCTTGTAATTTGATACTTTATTAATTACTCGTATCAGAACTAAATCGTTGATATGATATATTGGATCTGGCCTGTTTCGATTATATCTAATTTTTGCTAATTTACTTTGATGTCGAATATTCAATTTTGCATGATCGATAAGAATTTTCCTAACTCGTTTTGCTTTTTCATAATATTGATTTGGCTTTGAAAGGGATACTTTCATTTGTTTCGGATCCATAAGTAGTAAGTTTTCTCTACCAAACATAATCTGAAATGGACTAAATTTTGTTGTACCATGTTGACTGGCGTTATACGCATAAATAATTGGTTGTAGTAATTCGTCTCAGTCTTATTTTTGTTCATTCATTAATTTCGATAATGCTGGAGCAAACATTGCATTAAATCTTTCTGTTTGAGCATTCGACATTGGATGATATGGTGTCGCAAGGATGTGTGTTATATTACATGAATTGATTATTGTTCTGGTTAATTCTGCAATAAAGTGAGGTCCTTGATCTGTCACTAATTTTGTTGGTGCTTCGTAATGATAACATACATCTAAGAAAAATTCTGCTGCTTCTTGTGCTGAATTAGTCCTGACTACTTTCGCGAACATCAATTTTGAAAGATAATCGGTCATGGTAATGACATATTTGTTCCCATTTGTTGTGGATTTCTCCATGGGACTCCAGTAATCCATTCCAACCAGACCCATCACTTCATTTGGTATAGGAATAATATTCATTTTCCCAGGTAATTTGGCTCTTCTATAATTATATTTTGAACATCTGGTACAAGACTTAATATAATTGATTATTGTTTTATACATGTTCGGCCAATAATACTTGTTGACTAATTTTGTTGTTGTTTTATTAATTCCCATATGTGCTGCTGTATGATGGTCGTGATGAAGAAATAGCACTTGATTTATCATTGTTTTTGGAACCCATGTAAGTTTAATTTTTCTTTTCCCACGTGGAATTAATTTATATATAATATCATTAATAATTTCGAAATCTTGATTACTAGATAGATTTTTCTTTTTCTCTTGAATTTCCATATCTTTTAGTTGTTTTTCTTTGATCTTCATCATACTGAAACCCATCGATGATAAATGAACTTCCGCTGAAGAGTTTGCATTCGATGATGACGGTACCATTGATTTATCATTCGCGTTCGATGGTGATGATGCCGTTGAAGCCATGTTAGTATGTGATGATGAAGAAGAGTTTTTTCCTTGTAGTTGTGTAGTTCTTAGACGAGTATTATAAACACTTGTTAATTTTACTCCATTATCTTGTTGGTTATTATTAGCTCGAGCTGCTGAACGTGTAATCACATGAATTGATGCTGTTGGTTGAATACCTGAGTCATTATCATATAATTCATCTGAGTATGGGAATAAATAACCTTCATGTTGTTTCCTTATACTAATGTCATTACAATAACTTTGATTACTTTGTAGTGAATAACGGGAAAGTAAATTTGCATCACAATGGCATTTTCCTTTTTTATATTTAATTTCAGCAATGTTGTATTCGGATAATATTTCAATTGCCCATCGATCGAGACGTCCATTACGTGATCGTTTTTTATGAAATTGACATAGTGGACAATAATCAGTTTCAATTCTAAAATCTTTACCAAGTAAATATGGACGTAATTTTGTTATAGCCCAGACAATGACCAATGCTTCTAATTCAGTCGTAGAATATCTTAATTCAGTATTTGTTAATACCCGTGATAAGTAATAAATTATTTTTATTCGTCCATTTTCAGTTATTTGTTTTAACACCGCACCGAGTCCAATTCTTGACGCATCAGTAGAAAGAACATAAGGTAGTTTTGGATCAGGAAATTCAAGTACTAAATCTGGTCCAGTAATAATCTGTTTCAATTGTTGGACAGCTTGTCTTTGTTCTTCGCCCCATTTAAATTTGTGTTTGTTGTGCTTGGTCAGATTTGTTACACGATGGATAGGAGCCGCAATCTTTGAAAAATCTTTAATAAACTTTCTATAAAATCCGATTCCACCTATAAATTCATTAACTTGTTTTAATGTTGGATGATCAGGTATTGGTAATTCTCGTATTGCTTTAATATTATCATAAAGTGAAGCGATCTCATATTTATCAATTGAATGTCCGAGATATTCAATTTTGGTTCTCATAATTGAACATTTGCTAGGATTTAATTGAAATCGATCTTTATCGAGGATACTAAGAATTTCATCCAGAAGCTTCGTATGATCCTTAAATGTCTCACCAAAGATTATTATATCGTCAAGATATACTAAGCAGCAATGTTCACGGCCATAGACGACGAGATTATACATGATCCGTTGGAAACTTGGCGGAGCATTGGTTAAACCCATTGGGAGTACATTGAATTCCCATAAGCCAGTAGTCGTGATAA